CGGGTGAGCAACGCCTGGGTGGGGAACAGCCCCTCCTATTCAAACGGGGGCCAGTGGCTCTCACCGAACAGAAAGCCGGCACAGGATGGAGCCAGGTCCTGGATGTTGACGGAAATGCCACTGTGGGAAAGAGAAAGGGAGGTGGGCGAGCAAGTGACCACAGGGCGGCTGCCACCCCCATGGAGTCCGGGGCTGGTCCTCTGAGCACCCGGGGTCTAGAAACTGCCACACGGGCGCTCGGAACCCAGCCCAGCCAAGGCCCGCCCCCCACAGCGGGGCGCTCGGCCACACCAGGGCACAGCCACCGTGCCAGGGTGCCGGCTGGTGAGTGGGGCGCCCGGCCCTCACCTGTGGTTGAAGGTCTGCAGGCCGATGGAAGCTGATGCAAACACCACAGATTTGCAGAAGCTCGAGGTGTGCCCCAAACACAGGGCAAAAACGCTGGACAGGCCAAGGCCCATCACCTGCGGGACAGAGGATTGGTGCCTGCCGACAGGGCTCCTCCCGGGGCCACCCGGGGCGCACTGAGCAAGGTCACTGGGAAAGCCCCTCCCAGGCCTGCCCAGCGGGTATGAGACCCCCCACTTGTCCGACCAGAGGGGAACGAGGGCGACCGAGGCCCAGAGACGTGTGCGGGGGTCTGGGGGGGGCACAGCTGGGAGAAGGGCCTCAGGTGGGCCAAACCAGCCCCCAGCACTGATCCAGGGCACCTCCGAATGCTTTCTGGGTCAGGAGACGGGGGGGGGTCACAACCCGCAGGGGAACAAACCAGGGGTGTCCAGAGGAGCATTCCACCTCCCTACCTGCATGAACTTCCGAACAGTGATGGTTCTGTAACCTGAGCAGAGGAGAGAGGTTCCCACTGGCACCCACGTGGGGTCCCAGCCGGCACGGCTGCAGGGAGGGAGCATGGAGGGGAGGGCCGGGCCCTGGGCTCAGGGAGGGGGTGTCCCGGGTCGTGCGTGAGACATGTGAACATGTGTGTGGGCACACATGCCTGCACTGGGCATCCTGTGTGCTGGGTGTGTGTGAGCAGCTGTGTGAGTGCGTGTGGGCATGTGTGCCCTGTGCCGGGCATCCTGGGTGCGTGTGCACACCCGTGTGAGTTCCTGTGGATGCGTGTGCCCTGCCTGAGCATCCTGCATCCTGGGTATGTGTGCACGTGTGCGAATGCGTGTGAGTATGTGTGCCCTGCCCTGGATGTCCTGTGTCCTGGGTGCACGTGTGCAAGTGCGTGTGAGCACGTGTGCCCTGCCCTGGGTGTGCATCTAGAGGACTCTCCAGGACAAGGTCAAGCAGACAGGCAGAAGGAAGGCCCCGGGATGGTTTACACACGTGCTGTCTCCCTGTTTCTACAAAGTCTCCACTTTTTCCACAGTGAGGGTGCAGCACTCTCTCACTAGGAAAGGACTAACGTCTAAGAATGCGTGTGCGTGTGCATGCGCGTGCGGTGTGCGTGTCTGTGAGATCCTCGTCCTCGGGCGTGTTCTCTGGGGTCCCGGGCTCGCACACACAGCCCCCCCGACCTATGACCTCTGACCCCTCTGAAGACCAAGGAGGAGCTCCACGGTGCCCACAGGAATCGGGTCCTCTCCCTGTGCCCCACCCCCTCCGGGAAACTGAGGCTGAGGTGGTCGGGGCCCCACTCTCAGAGCGAGGTCCTGGGGGTGGCAAGACCCCTCCCATCCCCGTAGCACCCCCAGGAGGGGGCCCCCACCCCCCACAGTGTGGCAAAGCTGGGTTGGCTCCCGGCGGCCCCTCCCCCAGGGCTCACCCTGATTGATGAGATGGTCGGAGAGGAACCCGCTGAACAGACCGGCGGGGATGGCCACCAGCCAGGGCACCACGTTGAAGACCCAGCCCTGCAGGGAAGAGGGAGGCCTCAGAGGGCATGCGCCTGGCCACCCGCGAGAGGTTGCACAGGCCGGTGGTCGCCCATGTGCCCTGATGCCCGGTAAGTCTCTCCCTGCCCACAGGCTGGGCTCCCGGGCTGGAGGGCCCCCCTGACCTTGACCCCCCCCCCCACCCTGGCCGAGCTCCACGTCCACTAGGGCCGCCCCCCTTCAGGCCGAGTCTCCCTCACTGGCCCCCCCCACCGTGACAGGGCCGAGCAGGGGGGACACAGGCCCACCGTGCGGAGGTGCAGGAGGTTCTGGTCACCAGACGGGGAGGGTGGCCAGGGTGGAGTGGGCCAAGCTGACCCTGCCCATGTCGCGATCCCCACTTGGCCCGTCCTCGGTCATGACCGTGCACAGACCGTCGGCTGAGCCTAGGACAGGGCTCTGCCGGGCGGCCGCACAGGGTGCATCCCGGGAGCAGGCGCTGTGCGGCGGTGGGAAGGGGCCCTGTCCTGGGTGGCTGCACCAGACCAGAGGGGCCGCGGGCCCTGAGCACGGGCGAGGGTAGCTCAGGGCCGCGAGCCCGAGTGGGGCCGCAAACAACACTGTGTCTCCGTCACCCCGCGGGCACCAGGGTGGTCCACCCACCTTGGAGCTAGGGAACGTCTCCTTGAAGAAGGTCGGCAGCCAGGAGAGGAGGATGAAGAGAGCGCACGCGGACGACAGCTGAGCGGAGATGGCTGCCCTGGGGGGCGCGGCCGGGCTCAGGGTCCATGCGCCCCAGCCCCGCACGGAGGGGCGCCCCCGCCAGCCCCCGCGGAGCTCAGAAGCCGGGGTGACCCCGGCCCGTGTAGGCTTCGGGAACACCCGAGATCGGCTGGGCTCGGCCCCGTGCCGCCCCACCCCAAGCCGCGGCCCCGAGGCGCCGGCTCACCAGACAGAGGGCTTCCGGAAAAGCTGTCTCCAGGGAACTTTGGTGCGCCTGGACACCCGCAGGCCTCGCACCAGAACGCCCAAGGCCAGGATGAGATCTGAGGGGCAAGCGGTTTCCATGTGGAAGCTCCTCAGAATTGGGGGATGGCGTCTGCTCGTAACAGACGGCTCCCGGGGGGGCAGCTCCAGGGGCCAGCGCCCCCACAGCCCTGCGGCCCACCTGGCTGCCCCGGGGACGGCCACACCGTCCTCCCTGCCAGCACCTTGGGCTGTCGGCATTTGAGGGAGTCTGAACAGACTTCCTCGGTCCTTCCCCCGTCCTCAGATCCCCCAAGCCCCGCTTCCTGCCGTCTTTAGACCGATGGCCCCTGCCGGCTGCCTGTGCCCGGTGGGCACCTGTCTCCGTGTGCCCGCTTCTTCCTGGGGCACGGCTCTCAGGCCTGAACCCGGGCAGAGCCGGCCCGAGAACTGGCATTTTCCTCAGGCTCTAGTCTAGAGGATGCTTTTCCGGACGGGGCCAAGCTGCAGCCCAGGGACCCGCTGAGCGGGTGCTACTCCGCAGGTGAGTTGGGTGGATGTTTAGCGGCCGCTAGAGGGGCCGGGCGCCAGGCCCTCACCCTCCCTGGGCAGCTGCGTTTGCCGGCCATCGCCCGCCCGGCCGCAGTTACCTTTTTCACTCAGCAGGTACCTGTGCACATAACACACCCACAGCAGGGTGAGCCCGCCGGAGAGGTAGAAGACGCTAGGCCAGCCGTACCGGTCCAGGAGCAGGGAGCCCACGGCCCCCGTCACCAGCGTCCTGAAAGACAGGTGGCCGTGACCCTGGGCTTTGCTGGGGCAAGGCGATGCCTCTGAGCACCCCCACCCGGCATAAGCTCGTCACCAGGAAAGCAGCCGCCCCAGTCTGAGCGTATTTTGTGAAGCATTCGGAGCGTTCAGGGAGACTTCCGGCTGCCTCGGCGCCCAGGGGACGTGGGCACAGCCGTGCGGCCGTGACACGGCACGGGGGCCCTCTGTTGCTTTAATTTCTTGCTTCCGGGCCTCCAAGTTGGCCTCCAAGATGTCTAAACACAAAAGTGGGAGAAGCAAGCACAAAGCCCAGAAGCCCTGTGGATCCTCGCCTCCTGCAGGCCGGGGGTGGGGGGTGGGCAGGGGGGGCGCCTTCCCCCCCGGAGCCTCCCTTTCCTCATCTGTGCAGTGGGCAGACTGTGTTCCGTGCCTCTCAGCCTAAGACACGGGCCCAGGACGCCTGGGTGAAGCGGGATTTCAGAAACAACGCACACCCTTCCTTGTGGGAGTACGTCCCACACGGCGTATCCAGAACCCCCGTTCCAACTGGGCGCTCTGGGCTTTTATCCGGGCTCCTGGCCCGTCCTCAGGCACCCCTCCACGCTCTGATTTCTTGCCTGCTTCTTGGCAGCAGGGAAGTGAGGGACCTGAGCCCCGGGTAGTGAAGCCCCATCAGGACAGCAACATGTCCCTTCTCCCCGAGCGAGGCCTCCATTCAGGAGTACAGGGACAGGGTCTTCATGTCTGGACCGTGTCACATGCCCCCCAGGGGGGCACAGGTCGCCTCCCACATCGGGACGGCACCCCCTCTGGCTCCCTCAGCACAGATGAAAGGGAACGCCGTGTCCCATTGCCAGAGCCTCAACCACACCACCTGCCCTGGGGACAGAACATGCACGGGGGGGGGGGGGCCCCCCCGCACCACAGAAGCAGCCGACCTGCATCTCCCTGAGCCGCAAAGGCGCCCACGCGGCCTGTCCCCGCCCAGGCCCCCCTGGGCACACCCTCTGTCCCCTGGGCTCTCAGGGCCAGGACTTACCCAAATTGGGAGCCGGCCCCCACGGCACTGTAGGTGAAGGCACGTTCGCTCTCTCGTACCTTCTGTGACAGCAGGCTGGTCAGCGCCGGGAAGTAGACCCCTGAAACGAGCAGAGAGCTGCGTCCCCACGCTGTCATCTGGGGCCAGGGCGGGGCCGGCCAGGACCGAGAGCTGCTCTGGGACGCTCCCCCGGGGACCAGCAGGACTGGGCTCTGAGGACCTGTCAGCTGGACTCTCAGCTGGGGGACAGGTGTGCTTAGGGTCCTGGCACAGAACGGGCTGTGGGAACGACAGAGTCTGAGCTGGCACTCCTGCCACACCAGCTCGAGTCCTGGTGCACACTCACACACACGCACTCACACACGCACGCCACACGCTGATTCGTGCATGCTCACGCGCGCACACACACACACACATGCACGCTTGCTCGCACAGGCCCACTCACACTCGCACACACGCTCACACACTGGCACGCCCTTCTCGCACATGCACATTCGCACTCACGCTCGTGCTCGCACGCACACGCTCACAATGCTCACGCACACTCGCACACGCATGCTCACACATGACACGCTCGTGCACGCACGCACACTCACACGCTGTCTCGCTCGCACACACACGCTCGCACGCGTTCACACACGCAGTGCACCTACAGCCCGTGAGGCCCGAGCGAGCAGCCCCACGGAGCCACGGTGCCCGGATGTGTCGTCGTCCCGCAGCCACACGAGATGCCGCCCCAGGGAGGCCCGAGGGACCCCGGGGCCTCTTCGCAACTTCCTGCAAATCTATGATCGTTGCAAAACCTAATTTTTAAAACAGGGACGGCGGCTCCCACCTGTTGTGCTGCGCTTTTCTCCCCGGAAGAGCTAAGAGGCCAGGGGCTGAGGCAGGGCCCGGCCTTCCCGTCGGGGCCCCACCCCCACCCACACCAACTGCCAGTCACCCAGGCTGATCGCTGCCCCTTGAGCTCTCGTGACGGCACGGACCGGCCCCCCACCTCCCAGGAAGATGGGGGAACAGCCTGAGCCGAGGGCCCCCTGGCTGGATGCCCAGAAACCCCAGCCACGGGACCGGCCGCACATGGGACACCGGGGTGAACCCACGGGGCTCAGGAGCCGGACTGCCCAAGAGGCGGACCGGTGGGGCCGGTCAGGAAACAGGGAGAGGCCGAGTGCAAACGCGGGTCCCGGAGGCTCTGGCCAGGGGCAGCCTCTGCCCAGCAACATGCAGAAACTCAGCAAGTCCCCGCTGCTCCAGCGGCCAGGGGCGCTGACGGCCACCGTGTGGCAAGCTGCCTGCCACCCACGCCCCCGGGGTGGGCCTTTTGGCGGAGGGGGGCATCTGACATTGGATTGTGCCAGACCGTGAAATATTTCTGGGAAACAGACAGAGCTTCGGCGCCAAGGCCTCGCGCGGCACGACAGACCCGCCCGCCACGGGGAAGCGCAGCCAAGCGCCGGCTGCCTGCTGGGGGCGGTCGGTCCTCGTGCCTCCCTGCCCACGAGGACAGCTGCCCGCCCGCCGCGCTGGGGGCTCCCGGGGCCTTATCAGCAGGCGCAGGAGACTTCCTCTGACCTAAGCACACGCGCGGGATTGCGCCTGAGTACACGTATGTACCCACACGTACACCCACCTGCACGGACACGTCCACACACCCACGTGTCCACGCGCGTGTACCTACACGCGTACACAACGCGTGCGCGCTCGCCTGGCGCTGGCACGGCTGGGACCGCAGAGGGGAGCTGCCAAGACAGCCCTACCTTGGAGCAAGCCCGTGAGGATGCGCGAGAAGGTCATGAGGACCAGGTGAGCACTGCTGAGGCGGGCGAGCAGCGGGGTGGCGGCAGTGATGAAGCCCCAGGCGGAGGCGGACAGCAGGATGACCTTCTCACCCCCGATCCTGGAGGAGGACGAGAGCACAGTGGCGGGTGGCAGGCAGGGTGGACGGGTCCTGCCCGGAGGAGCCCAAGCCGGTGCCTGCTCCAGCCCGGCTCTGAGCTGCCGCCACCGGGCCGGGCGCCGCTTCCTCGTCCTCCTCCGCAGAAGGGGCGGAGGGTGAGGGCACAGGCCCAGCCTGTCCCTCCGTCCCAACAAGCACCCTTCCCCCGCCCCCCAGGACAAGCGCCCCAAGGGGAGCCGCGCACCTGCCCCCGGACCGCCTCCTCCACGGACCTCGGTCCTCCCGGCCGATGCCTCTCTCCAGGCCAGGCCTGGCCCCACATTCATCCTGCGGGAGCCGCCTCCCCCCGGGGCAGCCCCGGCCCCGCGTGGGGAGCAGGGGTGGTTACCGGTCCCCCAGGTGGCCGCCCACCACCTGAGTCAGGCAGTAGCCCCAGAAGAAGCTGCTGAGCACGACGCCGGCTTCCTTCTTGTTCCAGCCGAAGTCCTGGCTCATGGAGACGGCGCACACGGGCACGCTGACCCGGGCGCAGTACAGCAGGCCCGTGCCCAGCAGCAGCGTCCCCGTCCATGCCTGGCACTCGGGCCTGCGGGACAGGAGGGACGGTGTCACCCAGGAGGGCAGCGTGGCCGCCCCCCCCGACACCGGAACCCCCCTGCGTGTCGGCTCCTGAAGCACAGGCAGACTCTAGGAACGAGTCACGACAGCAGAGGCTGGGAGCAGCCGGACGGCCAGCAGAGGGGCACGTGGGACAGAGCACAGCTGGAGGGGTGTGCTAGCCGGGACCAGCAGCCAGGTCCACACTCCCACTCCCCGCTCCCCGCAGGCCAGGGTCCCCAGGGAAGCAGCTGGGCAAGAGCAGACAGCTCAGTCACCTGCCCAGGAGACCCCAGCTGAGGCCAAAAGGGAGGGTCTCGCGGCAGGGGTGGGCCACTATGGGATAGGAGCAGGGCAGTGGGTCCCCGAAGGCTCCGCAGGAGCGCTGTGTGTGCCCAGCAGAGGAGGTCGGGGCAGGCGGTGCTGGGCGGCCAGCAAGGGGACGGTGCCGTGGGGGTGGTCGGCCCTTGGAGGAACCCGGGCGGAGGAGAGGCAGGCCCGGCTGCCTAGGAAGTCGCCAGACAGGTGTCCACAGGGGGACGGTCCTTGAAACTTCTGGCCAGTGCTCCCCGACTGCCCCTGAGACCAAGGGAACTGAGAAACTGCCAGAGCCAGGAGATGATGCCCCCGTGCATGTGGGGTCCCGGATGGGGTGCTGGGGTGTGAAAACCAAGGGCAGAAATCTGAGCAAACTCCGGGCTTTTGTCCGTGGTTCCCTGCGGAGAGGGACTCGCAGGCGGGACAAAGGCAGGGCGCTGACAGAAGATGTGGAGGGAGGGGCGGGCGGTAGAGTCACTCCCTTCACGTGACTCTGCAAATCAAGAACCGGCCTCAGAGACAAAGTTTACTTTTAAACAATGAGAGAGAGGGAGCTGTGGGCACCAGCCGTGGGGGTGGGAGATGGGTGGAGAGGGGGTACCGCTGGTGACTTGTGATGTCCCGTGCGGAGGGCGGGGTGTGCAAGCTGGGGGCGGGTGGTCAGAGAGTGCGGGGGGCCTTGCAGCAGCCCGGCGGGGAGCTCAGGGGCCCCGCCTGCACGGGGACCCATCCCGAGCGGGGCGCACACACCAGGAGCCCCATCAGTGGGTGTGATACGACGCACCCATTACCACCCATTACCCCTCTGGACCTCAGAGGGGCGTGGCACGCAGGGCTCCAGGGCGCCCTTCTGTGGCCCTCTGCTTTTAGATACCAGAACCAGTGGGAAATCGGGTCCTGTGCTAAAAATATCCCCAGCTGTGCAATTCCAGAAGCCAGACACTAGACCCTGCTTTGGCTGAGGTCGGCTGGGGGACGGCGCTCCACTTGGAAACTGCCCAGTGACCCCCGTCACACGCCCCCCACCCCCACCTCCAGGTTCTTAAAATGTTACTGGAATGATTCAGAAGCCTGGACGACGGAGACAGCAGCATGGACCCGAGGTCCCAAGGCTTCCCCTGCTTGAGAGGGATGGGGCCATAGGGGAAGCTCAGTGGCTGTCCCTCTGGGCCCGGGGGCCCCAAACGCTAGTTTTCTTTCCAGAACTGAAGACCGTGGGGCGGAGGCAGGGCCAGGCATCTGCGAGGCTGATAAGCCCGCAGGTGGCACCAGCTCACTGCCCACCCGACACAGGACACGGGGCCCCTGGCAGGGCGGACCACCGTGGGCTCAGGCACCTGCCCCTCTGGGGTTCCAGACCTGAAGATGATGCCCCCAACGTCTCCCCGACGCTCATCCCTGGGACTTGACCACAGTCGCCCGGCGAGCACCTCACGCGGTCCTCCCTCCCACCCAGCTTTCCAGCCCAGGGGCAGCGGGCCTGTCGGGCACATCGCTCTCCTGAGCAAACACTCCCACTGGCCTTACTGGGGAGGCCCAGAGCAACACAGCCCAAACCTCCCACCGGAGTCCGTCCAGCTGGCCTGAGCCCAGCCGGCTGCAGCATCGCCACGGCCTCCGGGTGCCCCGTTCCGGGGGAGCCCACGGCGCTCCCACACCCCCGCGCCCCCTGCAAGCATGTGTATGCACTGCCCAGGGGCACCAGGAGAAGGCGGGCGTGGAGCAGAGCTTCCAACGCCCCCACAGACAGCCACAGTCCAAAGGTGCCTTCGAGAAGGAGCTTCATTCCTTTCTATGGTCAGAGCAGTGGAGGGCCACCCGCGTCCAGACTGGACTGTGCCCCCAGCAAGCCCACCTGGCCCATCTCACTGGTGACCCTGAGAGCCTGGCTGTGTTTGCTCTCTGGGTGGGAAGGCCAGCTGAGGCTGACCCACTCTGGGAGGCTGGCAGGCTCCTAGAATATGGTGCTGCCCCTGGGCCTCCTTGTGACCACGGGAAGCCAAGAAAGGCCCGCCAGCATCCGGGCCAGCAGTCTGCCCTGAGCTTGTGTGGGGCAAGGTGCTGTCTGCTTCCTCCCTGGGAGGCCCCCACGGCCCAGTCCCCAAGCTGAAGGCAATGCCAGCTGGGCAGGCAGAGGTACTTCCTCTCCAGTGGCTGGGGACACAGAACAAGGAAGTCTGGCTGGACTCGGCGGCCCAGGCACGGACTCCTTGATCCTGCGGATGGCCTGTTTGGGAACACAGAAGGCAAGAGTGGATAGGAGAGCTTCATCCTGCCCACAGTGACCCGCCCTGAGCCTCAGGCCTGTGCCCCCAGCTCATCAGAATGCTTCCTATGAACCTTCTAGAAACTTCTGCTTCCTGCCAGTGGCCCTTGTGCATAAGCATCCACGGCTGAGCAAACATGTGGTCACGTGGCCCCTCGATTCAGAAAAGGGAAATGTGCCGGCATTGCAGGCCACGGGTCCAAGGCCACTGGCTGCCCCCGCCCCTGCTCCCAGGGCCCACAAGGGCAGACACGTGGCTGTCGAGGCAGAGGGCACACAGGGTGGGCAGCCAGAAACAGCCACACTCACTGCGATGGGTCCACTCAGGGGTGGGGACAGCCTCGCCCCGGCTGAATCCAGTTCCACTCAGGACCCCCAGACCCCTCCAGAACTTCAGGCTGCCTCCCCTGCCAACGGCCTGGGGAAGTGGGGCAAGTGCCCCTTCCGGAGCGAGCACACAGGGAGGCAGTTGAAGCCGAGCCAGCTAGAGCTGCTGAAACGTGACCCCATGCCACCCAGATCAGTACCTGGATCAGCCCCTCGGTATCCAGGGCAGCAGGGGGGTTGGGGGGCGGGGGGGAGGACGAGAGCGCCCCTGGACCCTGACAGGCACCAGCACGCAGCCCCCCAGCTCTAGCAGATGCCTGGAGCAGGGCCCGGGCCAAGGCTGCGGTTTGGGCTCTGGGGCTCCCACGCTCACTGCGGCCCTTCCCACGCCGCTCTGCACACCCTGTCCTGCAAAACGACCAGCTTCTCTCCCGTCTCCCCCACTGGCTTTGCCTTCATCTCGCCCCAGCCTCGGGGACACTACCTCTTAGGGTCTTCCTGTGACCCTGTGCTGGGCGGCAGCAGCAGGTCCCGAGACCAGGCTCCCTGGGCACTCGGAGACAGACGTGAACTGGCCTGGGAATCCCAGGGCCTGACGTGGGCCCGGGGTCCACAGAACCAGAGGGAGGGCTGTGGCACAGGTGGCCTGGTTGTTCAGCGTGTCACAGTCATGAGGAGAGCCCCTGTCCTGGGGCCTTCTGTCCTCGGCAGTGGATGTGGAAACAGAATGTTTCCCAGAATGTGGGCCCTGCCCCCACAGGAGCCTCCCCCCCCCCACCATGGAGACCTGTCCACAGCACACAGCTGGCAGGTGTGGGCAGGACTCAGCCACCTGCCATGTCAGCTGAACCTGCTCTCAGGTGTGTGGTCACAGGTAGGGACTCGGGCCTGTAAATGGGTGTGGTCCTACCCGGCAGGGTCACTTCTAGGACCCACAGCTGTGTCCGTGAGCTCCCCTTCACCAGCCAGGACGATGCCCCCTTCCCCCAGGCAGGACTCCTGGGATACCTCCTGCCTGCGCACCCCCCGGATCCCTGGAGGGCCTGGAGAGGGCTCACGGGGGGGGCTCTCGCTGGCCCTGGGACTCGAAAAGGGATGGGGTCTGGGGCTGGGTACTGGTATGCCGGACCGTCAGGGAAGTGCACAGCCCATAGGTGGAGAGAAGGTGGCCTCGCCCCGGCCCCAAGCCACCGCCCCGCCCCCCACACCTTGGCCCCACCTGGACCACTGGGCGTCCTCAGCCCCGTCCCTGCGGGCCTCCTCCGGTGGCAGCGGCTGCATCGGGGGCAGCCGTCCGCGGGCACAGCGCGTCCAGGTCGGGCGCCCGCCTCTCCAACCCACACGGGGCAGCGCCGCCCAAGGCCACGTGTCAGTCCCAGCCGTGCTTCCGTCTGGTGCTCTGCTCTTAGGACGTGTCGCCCCCAGACGGCCACCACAGAGGGAGGGCGGATGGGGCGGGGCACACACTCGGTCCCCGCCCTGCGCTCCACCGGCAGCTGTCAGGGTCCACCTCCCTGCGGCTCCGGCTCCCGTGAAGTCTGGCCGCGGGAGTGGGGAGGGTGCGGGGCTCCCGGTGGCGGGTGGCCCGCTGGGCGGACCAGGCTGTGGAGGGCGGGGCCCGGGGGATCCTGGCGTCAGGGCTCTGGTGTTGGACAGGAGCCTGTGAATGGGGGGATGGTGGTGGTCCCCGTGTCACAGGGCTGTGGACTCGTCCAGTGACAACTGGGAACAGTCTTCGCAGAATGCGAGAGCAGGAAGACTCAAGCGCCCCCAGTTTGTAAGGTGGGTCTTCGGAGGTGGGCTCCCGCCCTGCCACCCGAGCCAGCCAACGCCGGGCAGCTGAGCGGGCAGTGTCCACGTGGCAGGCCGTGCGGAACAGGCCAGAGCCCCAAGGGCGTGCCAAGCACGGAGGGTCTGCCAGCCCCCAAGCTGAGTCCCCGGGGCCCTCTCGGTGTGCGGGGGGTGGGCTTTACGTGGCCTCGTCGAGGACACGGCCAGCACGGAGCCGCGGACGCCGGGACCCGATGGCCACAACCGGGCTTCCGGCCACACTGGCTTCTCCTAGCTGCCGCGTCCTCCGTCCTGCACAGGGCAGCCCAGCGAGCTGGGTCCCGTCCCGCCATGGCACAGCCTCCCAAGGCTTCTCACTGCACTTAGAACAAAGCCTAAAACATCCCCGCAGGGCAGGGCCCCATCCTCCAGCCACGGGGCTTTTTTGGAAGCCAATTCCCCCCCCCTCGGCCTCCAGAGTCGTCAGTACCACGCAGCCCGAGGGGGCGCAGGCCCAGCGCCACACCCGGTGCAGCTTCAGCTTCTGTAACCGACAGACCTCAAGGACCCGGGCCTGGGGGGGGGGGGGTCTCCCTGGTGCGGTGCCCCCCCATCACCTCTTTCCCCTCCCCCCAGCTTCACACCAGCTATTGAAGGGAGGAGTCTGTCTTTTGCACCCAATTACCAACCTAAATGGTAGAAGGACCCAAGGACAAACAAGTGTGCACAACACGACCGGAAACCACAAAAATGAATTTCGGATAATAAATGAATTTAATGCAGTGTAGGTTCTACAGCGGGATTCTTCCAAGTTCCGGAGCGGCTCATTCTTCAACGTGCTGGTGGGCTCACCATCCACGTCTTCAACGCACGCGCTGCTGTTCCGCACGTGATTCACGCTAAAAACACAGCTAGACGCTCGAGACCGAGGACTCGCCGGGCCCGTGGGTCTGGAGCTGCATAGGGCCCGCCTCGCCCTGGGTCTCTGTGCCTCCACTGGCCACCCACCGGGCCCTGCAGCCCCCGGCCCAGGAGGCCACGGCGACCACCAGGCTCGCTTCCCTCTCGAGCGTGTGGTGCCGTGTGCGCCGCCGAGCGCCAGACGGCACAGCCAGGCAGGGCTCCGCACGCGAGTCCGGCGGTCCGGCGCGGCGGGCGACAGCGGGATCGCTGCCTCCGGGTCTCCAGGCTCCCGACGTGAGGCGGAGACTCGTACCGCACAGCACGGCACCATTCCTGTCGGTGCCACACCCACAGCCGGGCACGAGGTTGCGGTGTGACTTGCTCGAAAACACAGCCAGACGGAAGGTGCTGGGAAGGCGCGTGCAGAGAAGTCCACTCCTCCCGGTTCTCACTCCTCCAGCTGCCAGTTTTGGTTGGAGCCGAGTAGGAGTCCCACAGACCTTCTGCATCACGGTCAGAATGGACCCAGCGACCCCGCCTTCCAGAGGGGGGCGGGGGGACTTCCCAACTCTGCAGATGAATCCTGGTCCCACCACAGGCTCCCTGCAACGAGAAACACCTCTGCCCTGCAGATGCAGGGACGGGATGACCGGTCGGCCCAGACTGCCCCTCCTGCCCCCCACCGAGGGCCCAAAGCCGCCGCAGCTGGGGCCCTGCGGCCTGTGAAGGCGGAGCAGCTGGGGACACCCCACCACTGCCGACAGTCTGCACAGGCACAGAGGCCAAAGGCCCCTGCAAACCCGTGTTCTACGTCTACGTAAGCAAATCATGAGAACAGGAAAAGCGCCTCGAAGGCATCTCAGAATTAAGGCACGACCTCCCACACGGGCAGGTCCCCCGGGCCGGGGACTGTGGCCCTTGCCAAACACCCCGGGTGGTCTTGAGTGCAAACCCAAGCACTCACTGCTCTGCACGGTCACGCCACCACCAACCACCGCACCACCTCCTGCAAGGTGGCAGGCGTTGGCAGGAAGAAGGGTTTAGGCGCCATCGTCACATGGGGAATGGTGACGGCGGAGGGTTCCTTTCCCCTCTCCAATGTAACAAACCTGTGAGGCTACACTCAGTAACGCCACCACTCCGGCATCAAAGCACCCTCCTTCTGCACGCGCTAGAAGGCGCTGGAAAGCTGTCACTCCAAGTCTGTCAATGTTCCGCAAGTGCCTTCCACGCGAGGCGCTCACGGTCCTGACAGCACAGGATGTGTGCCTCTGCAGGATGTGGCATGTGCCACAGGGAGAAGGGCCTCAGGCTCACCACAGCGGTCCCTGGACTTGGACCATCAGGAAGCATGAGCGAGTAAAAAAAAAAAAAAGAAAAAGAAAAAAAAGAAACTTTTCAGCTTAAAACCACGCAGATGGCAGCCCCAATCTATTTTCTCACAAACGTGAAACTCGAGTGCTGCATCTCTAGACAAGAGACGAGTTCCGCGTCCACGCACAGCACACACGGACGCACATCTGTGAAAGCAGACAGTGCTGGTGGGAATGGACAGAAGGGGGCAGAAGGACGCGGCCCCGGTCCCTCCACCAGGGCTAGCAGATGGACTTCCCACCAGACGTGTCGGCATCGTCTCCAAGTCCTTTTCCTTCGTAGATCTTCACGGGCAAAAACTAAAAAGACCTTTCAGGAAATCGCTCTTGAGAAAAACAAGGCAAATTTTACTGTGAAATTAACAACAGGCAGCAAAAGCACCCTACTCTGCATTTTTCAAAGGACGCTGTGGAGGCTCACAGGCCCGCAGGGACACGGCGGACTCAGGACCAGGGTAACTCCCAGAGCAGGTCCCACTTTGTCCTCCGGAGGACCCCGTTGTCCTGAACGTAAAACGCGTATGGTTCTTTCTGAAAGCCCTGGTACCCCACTCCCCAAAACCAGCATCGTACACAGAGAAATACGGACACCGCGCCACCTTAACAGAAACCGTCCTCAACACGTTTCCCCACACGGCTTCTGGATGCATCTTGACTGCGTGGGGGGTAACCACCTCCTCATCCCCCGAGGCCTCACACATGGGGTCTTCGGTCACGTGTGAGGGAGACTTTCACGTCAAACACCAGGCCCGATGAACGTTTGCCTGTTCTAGAACCTGGAAACCTCCATTCAAATGGCAAAATATATTAGTTGTCATTGGATTTGCGCTAATCCCTACGCTTCGTAAAGATTCCAAACTAGGGTTATTTTTCACACGACTTCCTATCAGGAATGCAGAGTAACCAGAATATTCTCAAATTTTATTTATCTCAAGGCACTTTCCACAAAACATAAAGAGAATAAACTACATAAAACGTACATTTTCATAAACACCACAGCGAGATCCAAACGAGACGAAGAAAAATCACATTATACTTAATGTCTGTGGTCTCGAAATGGCTTGATTTAGCGTGCTTGCCGAAGACACAGACCGCCACACGGCGGCCCACGGGAGGCGTCTGCAAAGCCGGTCCCGCCGGAGCCTCCAAGGCCACCGACAGATGGGACGAGCGTAGCCGGGCCTCAGAGGAAAGAGAACAGCGGCGAGTCTGAGAGCGAGTCTCGCCAAAGCCCGGCTCGCACGTCACCCGCTGCCTCAATAGGCGAACGGGGGCCGCCGCCCGCGCGTCCGGGCCGATGGTTCACGGCTCACACCCTGGACTCTGAAGAACGTGTCTGGTGGATTACGTATTAGTCATGCACGCAAACGATCTCACGTGTGCTAACGAGGAAAGCCAACCGGAAACGTGCTGGACTCTGGTACCCGCCAAGCGCATACGCCGCCTGCTCGTCTCTCCGGCTCCTGCAGCAGGTAATGGTGAACTACCTGAAGATGAAAACCTTTGGCCCTAACTTATCGGCCTCAAGCCTCAGAGGAAACAGCCCTAAAGAAAGGTCACATCTGGACTGCTGAGACGGTCTCGGGTGTCGAGGAGAGACCCCCCCCCCTTCGTCCTCACGACACCAAGAGGGCAGCAGGAGGGCGAGGTGGACAGAGGCCAGAAGAATCCACAATGCACAGTCTTGCCTCTGCATTGGTGACCACCCAAGGCGGTCAAAAACCCACCACCGACCCCAGGCTCCGAGTGGAAGCAGGGAGCAGAGATGAAGCGGGGGGACCGGATGACCGCACGGCACGTGAGGATCGCGCTCAGGTCTGCAGGCGTGTGGGGGACGTGGCCCCAGCGGTCAGAGGCAGACCACCTGACCCACGGGAGCACCCACGAGCCCGCCCAGCCTCGCTGGTCAAGGAAGCCGGCTCCCCGCAGTTCAGCAGCTGTTGGCATCTGCCTCTACGAAGCCCCGGGCACCGAACCCCGCCCGGGATCCGCACCGGGAGGACGTGCAGAGCCGCCCGTGGCTAGGAAGCCCTGCGCCCCCGGGCACGGTCCCCTCCACCTCCTCGAGCCTGCGCCCGCGGGGTCGGCCGGCAGCTCTGTTAACCACCACCCTACAGGACCAGGGCCGAGCTGCACCTGCAGCGAGTGCACACACACGAGTCCGTGTCCCCAGTCACCAGAGCACCCACGTCCCAGCAACTGCACCGGCGGCAGGACACGTGGGGACTCACACGCACACCGGCCTGCTGCAGGGCAAGCCCCCCCGCCAAGGCAAGTGTGCACTCCTGGGGGGACGGGGGGGTACTCGCTGTCAAGACCCCACTCCTCGGGGTCCACTCCCAGGGGCACATGGGCCCTCAGGCTGCTGCCATCAGTCACTGTCCCGGCACCGAGACATGAGCTCCGAAAACAAAAGATTTGAGAGGAGTAACACTTTTTGGAGGCCGTTGTGGTCATTCTCGAAATCAAAGAGAAACCTTTATTTTCAACAAAACTGCCTACA